TGGTTCATTTGAGTCTTCATGTTGAGTAATTGTTGGAAGATGAGAAGACCTGAAGTAAGAGAAGCAGATTGTTATCAACCGCAACGTGAGCAGAGAGGAGTTGGCACAGCCTGCATCATAGTGTGGCCTCAGGGTTGCCCACCGGAGGTGACTGCAGGGACACCGTTCCATGCGCGTCATGGCACTACAAACACCCCGGTATTATACAACTGTTGATCAGAGCGGCCGCTCAAGACGCTACACAAGAGTTAGGGCTCCTAACTACCAGTCGGAAACAGCAACCAGTGAACTGTCAACCGTGTACCCTCAAAATGAAGAGGCAATGCCACAGATTGCGCACGTCACGGGAGAAACACATCAGTACTCGTACAGAGGCCAGAGAGAGAGAGAAAGTGCCGGGAACCCCTTCTTAGACAAGAAACAAGGTGTGAGCCTCTACGCTTGTCCAGGGGAAGATGAGAGAGAGAAACAAAATGAAGATTCATTACCAACGCGTTTTATCATCTTGTTTTTTTTTTTTTATATCTTTTTACAGATATGTTTCTCTGAATGTTTTACACAGACAGGTCTCTTTGTTAGGTACACTCTTCTAATGACGACCTGGACACCTTTTTGCTTCGATTCTTCTTGGCATAGAAGTACAGTTTCGACATTTCAGTTCATGCTCTTATTAAAACATGTTGTAATCCTTCTACATTGTTTGGCTGCGCATCCAGAATTCAAATCCCTTTCTCCCACACGCTCTACTGCATTGAGATCCGGTAACTGTGGATGCCACTTTAACACAAGAAATTCATTGCTGTTTCATGAACCAATCTAACACTACTTTTTTTTATTATTTGTAACCCGCTATGTTGTCCTACTGAAATTGGCCACCAAAACATCGGTGCACTGAAGTAATAAATTTAGGCACGTGGTCAGCTACAACACTTAGGTAAACTGCGGTATTTAATCTTTTATTGGGGGCAAGGAGTGGCTTGTTAATTTTAACGCCTCGAAAACGAAACTTTTCTCTATTAATCACCTGAAAGACCCCCCTTTTCTGTCCTCCCCCATCAGCATGGCTAATACTAACCCCCGTATGGGTGACTTATTGCGCCTTCTCTGATTAATATTCACGGATGACATTAAGTGGAAAGATTATATTGAATCCATTGCTAGGTTTGTCGCTAAGAAAATTGGTTCAGTGTCGTGCTAGACAATTTTCTATTCTGAATCGGTCTTAGATATTTATAAGTCTCCCATTAGTCCATGCTTTGAATATTGCTGCCACATAGGTCGGTGATCCTGCTGTATATTTAGAGGTTCTTCATAAAATCCAAAGAATCGGCAATATTACTGGTCCTAACTTGGCGCCTCGACTTCAGTCACTTTCCCACCGCCATAACGTCACTTCCCTGTTTTTTTTTCTATAAACACTTCTTCGTTAAGATACTTACACTTCATGAATTTAAGCACAGTACTAGATTAGTGGCAAGGTCTCATCAATTCACAAATAAATTGGCTAGATGTAAGCGTAAGTTCTATGCTAACAGTTTTTCTTGCATGCGGAACTCTCTTCCAAGTTAACTTTGATCTTCAAAAATGTAAATGCAATTTCAATCATTATCTACTGACTTGATTATAATTCTGTTGTTCGCGCTCCTTGATAATGTTTCTCTTTTCTTATTCTTTCACACTCAATAAACTCTTGTGTCTTGACTGAAATGCATAGGTTGACATCATTAACAAAAAAAACAAAACAGTGTCTCCATGTATGCCAAGAAAATATTTCGTACCATTACACTGTAATCATCTATATGAACCATTGATACAAGACTAGATGGATCCATACTTTCAGGTTATCTGCTCCAAATTTTGGTTCTTCAACTATTGTCGCAGCAGAAATTGAAATCAAACCAAGCAACGCAACGCATTTTTCCAATCTGTTGTCTGTTGTGATTATTAGCGAATTATACCATCATTTTCTTATCTAATAGAAATGGTACCCAGATTGGCCGTGCCGAGTCTGCTCCACGGTTCGGATTGGCCGTGCCCAATCTTGTTTTAGCTTGTGATATAATTGCACAGACTTGCGTTTTTGTCATATTCATTCCTACATTGACCACAGTTTGTAGTTTTTAAAATTAAAAATAGTTTTTAATAAAAGTTAGTGAATTCTCTTTTATTCTTTTTTTTTTCTACTTAATCAATGATATCACGGATAAGATTTAATAAATATATATGTCAGAACTTTGCCTAATTAATTTAATGATTACATACGTGTATATATTAATTTTAATACAGTAAATCATCGTGATAAATAAAATGAAAACCAAACACGGATGTATTTTAGCGAAGACTGTATTTGAAGTTGGTATAAAGAGACAATTTGTCATCTTTTCAATAATTCAATGCAGTTCACAGATAACGAAAGGAATCTCTGGAAATCCGTGGTCGCTTACATTCTGAAGAAAGGAAAACAATATAGGCAAAGTTCAGTCTTTTCTTATCGCTACTAACACTATTTACCGCTGTTCCAAACCTATGCAACTATAGTAATTTTCTGCTTTAAAAAAAAAAAAAAAAATTTGTAGTAAATATGATTAAACCTCGGAATTTATAATATTAACCTAAAAATTCATGTTGCTAGTTTCATTGTTCACTTTGTATGCTGTGAATTGATAATCATAGCAAAAACACTGCCATCGGCCAGGTTTAATATAGACTTCACGATCGCCAAGTTTAAAAAAAAAGATTAAGGGAATAGAATCTGCAATTTTATCGGTCCTGGCATCTCAGCTTCAGTCGCTTTTCGAATGCTGCAATGTCGCTTCCCGAATGAAAAAAAAATGTTAACAACAAATACTTTTTCACACCCAACCCAATTCTGCGGAATCAGAATCAACGTTGAGTTTAAGCAAGCGAATGAGCCAATTGAAGTAAAGTGCCATGCAAATTTAAATTTTTCCCACTTGTGACGAATGCAGCTATCGATTCTTTTTTTGCATGCTAGTTAACATTCGTGTCAGTCAGCTGTTGGCTATCACGCTGGCCAATAGAATCTTCCTGCCTATTTGTGGCAGCCAGCTATTGGCTCTCACTCTGGCCAGTACAAAATGGCCGCAAAGTATATGAAAACTGCCGTAGAAGCATGAAAAAAATCGATTTCCACTATCGATGGGAGTTGGGAAATGCAATGTCGGTCTTGACCTTCCCGCTAACTTGGAACATGTACATGTAAATTTTGGTGGAAATCCATCGAAAATTGCGGCCGTGCATTCGTTATACACACACACACACACACACACACACACAGCCTTTTATAGATAGATTTTGCGGAAACTATTAGGTTATTAGTTTTTCGGGTTGATTCTGCAAGCGAAGACAAGATAATTTTTTTGTTTCAAATATTTTTAAGCATTTCATCCCAATTAAAGCGATAATGCCAGTAAAACATAGTGTGTTACTGGGAGTGAATGAGAAGAGACTTTACTGAGAAGTGAAGAAAAGATAATAAAGGAACAGGATTCAAGAGAACAGATGGCGATTGACGTATTTAATTTTTATGAAGATTGTTGAAAGCGATCCACATTTTGAAAAACGTTCAGCATGTAGAATATCCGAAAAAATAGTAAGGTTAGGTATACCCTAGGGGAAATATATGAATCTATCACTTATCCCATCTCCAGCTAATTAGCAGAGCATATTGGACTCGTTAGCCGTGGCTAGCAACCAGTATAGAAAGATAACTAAATTCAAAACCTTGTGTTTCTAGTGGTTCACATGAACTGTAATTAAGATCTGATCAACATAGTTTCAGTATAAACCACAGGTTGACTCTGTGGATGTTGAAGAAACGCAAATGGGCATGTTCGGAAACAAGTAGCCATGCTGACAGTGTGCCTTTCAAGTCGAAACAGCTGATAAAGCTCAGTCCCGCTATCAATGGAAATCTGCAACTGATAGTGTCATAATTAGATGATCTGAATATCTCGACTGCCCATTTTTCCGTCGAGTCATGACCATTTTTTTTTTTTTTTTTAATGGAGTGTGTGTAAAGCATGTCATTACTAAAAGCTCTCAGCAACCCCCTAAACTTCAGCTTTGGCTCCCCCGTGACTTCTTTTATTTCCCAAAGCTAAAATAGTCGTTGAAAGAAAGATTTATGACCACCATGAACAAGAATAAAGCGAACGTGACCTTTCCGCTGACGTCGAGCCTGAAAGCGGATTTTACCAACTGTTTTTAATAGGGCGAGTACCGGGATAAAAGTTCAGGTTCCAAAGGAACTACTTCAAAAGGATTAAGGTGTCATTTTTCCTAGGTTACCTAATTTGTAATTAAGATTTAATAGCTGGATACTTTTCAGACAGACCTCGACAGAATACGAATGAGCTGATCTTAAACAAGCATAATGTTGGGGGTGTGTTAATCTGTTTTGTAAATAGCAGATTCAACTGAATATATACACATCCTCTTCCTTGCATAAGCATATCAGACAACACTAAGCGACCTGAGCATTTACATATTTTCTAAGTTTGAACACGGATGTATTTCAGAATATTTTTACTATAGTTACATTTGCCCTACTTGAATTTGATGACATGCAAATTTTTCAGGTTGTTACTTTTGATCGTACACTAAAAATGCTTTGACCCAGATATTTAAATTGGACAATATTTTCATTTTTTTTTAATTTTTATTAAAAGCTCAAATCTCTTCCTTTTTAATTGTAAATAGTGAATACTGTCAATGTAATTAATGTTATTTAGCACTCATCTGGTTGTTGGAGTGAGCCAGGTGCTTTTCACATTATGAAATTCCTACCATGAAGTCAACTGTATCGTAAGCAATAAACATAGCTATTGCTATCAGATGAGCCATAACCCCATACGTTTAATAAATTTTAGGTGTGCCTCAGAAATACATACATGTAACCCAGATCAACAATTCCATTTTTTTTTTTTTTTTTTTTTTTTCGATGTAAGTTTTCATTCATAAAAAAGGGATCTACTTACTTGTATATCGTTTCTGCTGTGATATTCGTATTATTGTAATTGTCACGATTGTGATAGTTAAAAAATGTTGAATCCCCGTCAAGTGACATTTCTTCTTCTTCGTGAGGAATTTCCAAGGATGTCCGTCTCGCCCTATAATGATTATAGGTGGGAAAGTAACTGTTGTCTATCCCATTATTCGGTGATAGTTGTTGTGAAAGTCCTTGATTCTCCATTGTCCTTTTAGGAAGCAGGCCTCGCGAAAAATCTATCGCCCAGTTATGCAAATATATATATATATATATATATATATATATATATATATTACACAAGTGGTTGCAGTAGATGTGGTCGAATAGTGTGTTGCTGTTGCCTTAGTGATAAGTACACCATCGTTCGAAGTTACAAGAAACTTCGGATCACTCGTAAATAATGTTGATTTTTACAGGCATGGGAATAAGATTTTGTTTTACGTCTAAAATTGTTTGTTTACGGATACGCACTGTCGTCAATTTGCTGACGATGGAAATTATTTTAAATTAAGAAACAAGAAACAACATATTCTAACTTCCAACTTTTGTTAGTAGCAGACGCGCTCTCGGCAAATTACTCTGTACGTCTGTGCATTTGTATATCCGTTTGAAAAAGTCTTATTAATTGAAATAACTTTCACAATGTCGTCAAACAAGCAACAACTATACCAGGTTATTGGAGAATAGGAACGTATATCTATTTTTCCTCTCGCTCTGTGTTCATTGTTTTCTTTTCCCTCCCCTACTACCGTTACGTATTACTATTGACATTCGGTAAGGAGGGAGTGTTATAAAGCACTGTACATATCTTAGTATCTAACCTTAGCCTTTCTGTATTTCGTTCCCACCCAAGAGGTAGTAAATTTATTTCCTTTTTCTTCACGTTCGATGAAATTACAAATGCACCTCATTTGTCAACGATTACATTTCGTGGAAAAACAATCAACGTCAAAGGAAATTTTTCTAACTTTTCTGATTAAGTTCACACGTACTGTATTTTTCATCGTTGGCTATGTAAATAAATTAAAATGAATAACGCTATCCAGTTAATTACAGAGTTACTGGTGAATTATACACATCTCTCTTTCAAAACTGTCATGCAAGTGGGTTGGACAAAAGTTAAAACGAGAATGAAAAGGATCCTTTACCCTGTAGTGAACCCCCCCTCGAGCGCCCCAGTATCAAAAAAAGGTGAGTGAGGTCACGAGAGGCCCGCTAGCATTTTCGAAGACGTTAAATCTGACAAGGTGAAACAACATAGACGACAGAACGAGGATATATAGGATATAACTTAATTTATTCTAGAAAAGTAATAAAGAAATAAAGGTGGTCGGAACGGTAGAGATGCAGACGTTCCAGTGCAGGCATTGATGGTCGAGGTTGGTTGTTACAGGTGTCGTTACAGGTGATGGCTGCTGGTCATGCAGGTGGTCGCTGCTGGTCGTTGCAGATGATCGCTGCTGGTCATTGTAGTTTGAGGTTGATGTTGGTCGTTGCCGGAATGCCAACTTGACGTGTTGGGAAGGAAAGAGGAGCTGGCGTTGCGATGTTGTTCGGGCATGTCAAAGTGCAGGCGTTGCGTGTCTGCCGGTCGAGTCCGATATTAGTAACCTCCAGTAATAATTACTAACGTAGTGTACGGGAAAGGTTATGGACGACGTGCAGGCAGCCAATAGGGACGGAATGCCGAGAGTCGAACGTTGGCAAGGAGCCAGAAGTAAAAGGAGAGAGAGAAGGAAAGTTTCCAACTATCGTCAAGTTGGCAGACAAAAAGAAATGGGAGCGTAACTTAATGCACAGCCCGGTGGTCGACGTCCTGGCCACGCAGGCCAGGAGCCTGCGTACCGACCGTTTCAGTCGCCGACCCTAAATTTAGCGAGAAGTCACTGTCTTGTGGTAAGGGAGACTAGCAAGAGAATTGATAAGCTAACACAGTAAAGTCTACCTAAAAAATGAGTAGACTTTAGCTAAAAGAAAACCAAAGCCTAAAAATGCCTAGAAGTATATTACGACTAGGTTCGTAATATAACTAAACTGAAAAGGTAACTTGCTAGTCTACCACATAATTAACAGCGTGTAAGGAGCACAACCGAAAGGTCAAGGTCGAAATGACCTGTTTCTCTTCCGGTTTAAGGAAACAAAGAGGAGGTAACTCCGACAACCCTCAAACATGAAAAGAAAAAAAAAATGCGGTGAGGTAACAACGGTCGAAGCTACGAGAAACTAGATAGAAGAAAAGAGATGAACTTGCTTTTCACAAATTCTCCAAACTTTTACCTTGTTGAAGATGAAGCACAATTTGCATAACTTTGGTTTGGAAGAAGCATCCACAGTAATAGACAGCAATTGAACACTATTTTTTCTTTAAATTTAATTTTATTGTAGTTCTTTCTTTCCTTTTTCCGTCCTCTCTTCTTTTATTTCAATTTTCACACATTTTACTTTGGTCAACGAAACACTATGCCAATTATTTGGCATAATGTTTCGTACTGGGGTGGGGGGCATATTGTTTCAATCTTAGACAATTGACTATACTTGAACAAGTTATCTTCCCCATATATTCCCATCATAAACTACCCCTCTTACTCTGCAACTCTCTACCTCGAGTGGCTCTTGGGCCTTATCCAGGCTGAACATCATTGTTAAAAAAAATTAACGAAAGCTCAGTAGCAGAGAAAGCCATCGTTAAACTTGAACATATTACGTCAAGATATTTGAACCTTCACTAACTATAGGCATATCCCGTTAAAACTTCCGCATCTATTTTACGTGCCTATCCGCCCGTGAAATATGGACAAGACGAGATCCGTTTATTAATTAACAGATACCTGTTCTGACATCTGAACACGCACTTCGAAAATCCAAAAATTCTGCCAGATCTTTCTCGATGTAAAAGAGCAACAAAAAGCCACCAGATCAGGCACTACTAATACAGCGATCGGCACAAATCAAAGGCGCAGAGACGTTACATAGTTATATCAATTTCTGGTAAATAGTGCTACATTAAGACGTTTTCTGGAAGACAAATTTTTGTTGGTTCATATAAAGGGGAGGAGAATGCTATCACGTTCTAACTGATATTTCACCACTTCAGACCACAAGTCTCTCTGGTTATGTTTCGATGAGGAACAAAGAACATCAACTTGTTTCAGATCACATTGTTTTGACATAGTTGGATGAAGCTTTCAGAGAGAGCCTGTAGTGAGTGTGAAATAACTCCCTTCACCCACTCCCTTCAAATTCAGAGGACTGGCGGGGGAGGAAAGAAATTAGCGAACCTACCTGAACATGTTTTTGACCAATGAAAACCTTGACTTCACAGAAAGTAGCGAGCCTATGAGAAATTCTTGTGATATAAAATGAGAAAAATTTGAAAGGTTTTATTTCAGTTCTTCGCGACCAGCATTGAAGTATGCGCTAGTTACATTACCGGCCTCTAACCAGCACGCGGCATTTCAAAGAATATTCTTTCAACAATCCAAGAAAGCTAAGTGTTTCAAACCCTATATCCATTCGGTGAACAACAAACTCTCTTACCTTTGTCTCAAATATTTTTAATATTATTTTGTGTTAGATCATTTAATCTGTTATATGAACATTTCCTCTTCATGCCAATACAGTGTAACCCGGATATAAGAGAAACCCGAATATAAGAGAGATTTTCTCTGGTCCCAAATTAGAGCCTGTGTTAATGTAAACAAAATAGACCAAACCCGGATATAAGAGACTTCTTCTCCCGTCCCGACAACTCTCTTTTATCCGGGTTACACTGTACGTTAAAAATACGGATTCTGGTTTATTTTCCTGAAACTAGCTACTGACACTATTTCAAGTGTGTACACTTGTGAATAAATTCCTTATCTTGTTCTGTAAAATTACTCGTGTGTTTCCTAGTCATTATAATCTATCATTTACCTCCTTGGCGTGCATAAATCAACTGTTCATTTTAACCACTATCCCACGCCACTATAATCTTGTGACACTTGACGTGCGAGTAAACACATACACATCAAGCATTCACAGAAGTCGGCGAATCTATACAAACAGTATCCATTAAACCACCCGTGTTCATTGAATCGAATATGACTGCATGGTTATCAATTATTGTGGCACAGTTCCACTTGAGGATAAAGACACCCATATGGCTTTATCACGTGTTGGTTGCATTACCATCGGAAATAGTATGCAAGCTACAATCTACCATTTTACAGTCAGAAGATTATAGCAAACTTAAAGAAGCAGTCGTAACGTTGCATGAGAAATCAAAGCCAGAGATACTTGACAAATTAATGTCTTCTTCCATTCTCACAGTCAGACTATCCGTTTATTGAAATGAACTGATGGTGTTGGCAACAAAAATTGGAGTGAGCAGCGACATCGTACGACACAAGTTCATACGAGTAATGTCGATTAACATAAGAGCAGTCCTGGCAGCCCAAATGGACGTAGAAACTGAAAGACTTGGGAAAATGGCGGACGACCCTACTACTGTAGGCCCCAGTCCCGTTCGGCAGGTTCAAGGCCCCAGTCCCGTTCGGCAGGTTCAATCAAAGAAAGACAAAGACTGCCGTAGTAGAAATTTCAATTTACTGTAAACTCGTATCATGACCAGAAACCAAAAATATGCAGGGCGCACTACTATGCATATCGTGCGAGATCTTGTAAACCATGGTGTATGTGGCCGAATAAAGGGAATATTAAACAAAAACCGTCCTCACGAACATCTTTACCAATACGTGATGAGAAAGCGGGAAACTTGTGCGGTGGGGGTGATGACCTCCACTTTCCCGCTACTTTTGGAAGTAACCACACAATTAGGGACTCAGGAAATTACATTCATTGTGAATACAGGGGCTGTATTAGTTATTCCAAAGGAGTACCTGACAAACAGTCCGAAAACTGAATATTTCGCTGGGTTCCGCTAATAATGTAAAAGTAGTGCCTCGGACATAATGTGCAAACCTTGGCAATAAAAATCTTTAGAAGAAACTTTGGACATTTATTGTGGCTAACACTACGAAACTAATTTTGGGATATGACTTATGAAGTTACTATGGACTAACAGTCGATTGTAAAAATAAGTTGATCGACACAATTACCAATAGGCAAAGTAACGCTAAACTGTCACCTTGCGTTTTACACGTTTAAATCCATGACGATGAAAATGCAAAGAGAACCTTACAAAAAATTATGGAAAGCTGCCC